TTTGACTTCGCTGTTCGTCCCATTATCAGGACCATGAAAACCGTTGTTTTCGAGATTCTAGGAGGCCCTGGCAGCGGCAAGACACCTCTTGCACGGATCATTGCTCTATGTGCCTCGCGGTATTGGAACACGAACTCGGTATCTCCTCCCCGGCATCCTTCCGAGAAGCAAGTGAAATTGATTCAGGGATTCGGAATGCAACCTTTGGTGTTGGTAATGTTTTAAACATCCTCATAATAGCGAGGTTGGAACATCCTCGGTTATTTCAATGCCCAGGGTTTCTTTCGTGGACAACCTGGCCGCAAAGATCGACCGGATGTACATGATGACGGGCGTTTCGCGGAAGAACCTATTCGCAAAATGAAAGATTTCATTGTCGGATGCACCATGATGACAAAGGACAGGTGGGGCGCTGCCAAGTTCGTTCTGGGGTCAAAGTCTTTGTGTGCAACGACTATGTTTTCACGGACGCTCTCAAGCAGCTGCAAGATCATCGCTCCGGCTTCATTTCTTACCTGACACATGAAGAATTCTTGGATGTGACCGCTCCGATGTTCCCCAAAGACACAGAGGATCCACACAAAATGGTTGTTCTGAAGCGCTCTAACATCCTTGTCAGTGCCGGCAAGTGTTTGCTTCTCCGTCGCTTTACCCAAGAGGAGATCACGGTTCCATGCCTCAGCATGGGTGCTTCTGCTGAGTTTCTGAAACCTTCCAGTGGTGACAGGTATCAACAGTACCGCGACACCAATGTCTCCATGCATCCGAATTTCCACCGACATGTGCAGTGGGAGGCTGACTATGTCAACGCAATCCTCAATGGTAAATCGCCGCCTCGTCCGGGCATCACCATCAGAAACAGCAATGCCATTCACCAGTTGTTTCATGGAGATACTCCAGCTTCCACATCATCTTTCGGGGCCGCCGCCTCCAATCAGCAACTGTCCCGTTCAGGTACCCCGCGTCCCAAAGCACCGTCGGCGGCAACCTCTTCGAATGAACCCACCGCATTCAACCGCAAGTTGTCGAGGTACGATCATTGACTTAGACGGTCCACCGCCAAAGGTTTCGCGCAGGAACTCTGCGATCGACGTGCATTCCGGCGAGATCCTTGCAGAGCCTGCCCGCTGAGCCCGTCGGCCCGCCATCAGAAGCCCCATCACATGGTAGCTCTATATGATATAACTATGGATGTGATGGAAGAAGAATTACCCGACCCCATGACCCCATGGATGATCTCGGGAGTTGCTTGAGGAGAAAATGGACAGGCTTGCGGAGACAGAAGAGGAAACATGACCTGTACAAATTCAATACGTCCGCCGTCTAAGTAATCGTTGCTCATGATGTCCTAAACTGTAAGACTGTACGTAAAGAGTCTAGCAATGTGAGTTTTTCCTAATCAAGAAGCAGAACAAACTGCGTATAGTATTTTGGTGTGATTGCTGTAGATGCTTGATGACCAGCCGCCTGGAGTAGCAAAACTATTTGCTTCCTTGCTACATCACATGCTACTGTTCCTGTTATCCTCACCAATGCTTCTGGCACATTGCATCTTATTTGCACCACCATGTTTTCATGACAACGCCTTGTTCTCAAGCAAACAGCGTGGCAAGTAACATCTTGATGAGCTGCTGCGTTGCTTCTGTAGCTGACTGTGAGTACGCCATGGGCAAGAACAGCAGCTTCAATCCATTTCCTGAACCGAACAGGGAGTGAGACGTATGATCCAAAAGAAGCCGTCATGCAAAAAAACTACATCTTGGATCCGCATCCCGTACGTCAAAGACACTACGCATGGTGGTTACAGTCGCAAAGAGCAGACAAAATGGCGACGATCCATCCAGGATCTTTCGCACGCTACCGATCGCGAGATTCTCAAGATCCTCATCGAAGATCGTGTTCTACCAGACTTGAAGGGAGCAGCATGCCCTCATTGGCAGCATGGAAAACTCAGTGTTCTCACCACCAACGGTCGGGACGACATTCTCCGATATCGCTGCAACCGACAGGGCTGCCAGCGATACTTTCTTCCTCAACACCTGCATCCCATCTTCACTGCCACGAAAGGACCCGAAGGCATCCACTACAAGTTCAAGCGGTTGCACTACTACTCCGTCTGTTCAACGTGCCCAACGTCCATCCCACATTTTGACGCACAGCAACCACAAAGCATTGGTGATCTGCAATTTGATGGTCACACGCAAAGGCTATGTCCAGCAAGAAGAAAATCAAATTCGGAGGGTGTCCCCGCGCGTGGACGGAGGTTGAGGCCGACGAGGCAACCGTCGACAAAAATACTCTTACACCGGAGGAAGACATGCATGATGACGGCAAGCCTGTTCTTTGGGAACAATGGGGTGCAAGCGTTCAGCGAGGCAATCCACAGTCACAGACCCTGGTCCTGCCGAAGCTCAATCCGGCGATGACCGTTCCCAAAGCACCCGGTCCGGGGCCATCAGGAAGGCCAATTGGAAGCCACTTGCCCGCCGACTCCTCATGAACCGCAACGTGATCTTAAAATCGGATTCAGCCCGCTCTTACCGAATGAAACTGCCCGGAGCTGTCCATGATGCTGTGGTTCACAAAAAGCGCAAAGTCAAAAAGAACAACAAGTGGGTGCGGCTAAAGTAAAGCCGACCTTCGTCCGAGTTTTTAAGCATAAGCTCCTTGACGGTCGCAAGATTTCTCAAGGTGCGGCTGTGCAGGAATCAACATGTGACGGCATCATCTCTCATGCTCACAGCACAAATCCGGAGTGCTCAATACGAGTATTGGCATCGAAAGGATGAGCTCTGCATGTGCACGGGCGAGCTTGTGGCTCAGTACATGAAGGGCATTATCCAGCCGCATTGAGCACATTTCTGCTTAGCGTATGTTCTCCAGCTGTGCAGACGCTGTCGTGCTTCGCACACACCGCGCGCTCGAAAGCATTGTGACAGAAGATGTATGAGTGTACCTGCTACCGCTTGTGACATGAACGATCGATTATTCACACGCATCTGACCGCTTCTATCTGGCCGGCAGAGTCTGTCTAGTAGGTCCATGTTCCCGTCAATGCTCATGATGCATGGTCACGTCATGAAATCCTGTTTGAGAAATGCATTCAAGATTTAAGCAAACTCTGTTCCATGTTCAGAGAACAGCTTCGGAGAAGTTACAAACAGCACCATGTATCGAACCATGAGCTCTGCATCTACGGTGTCATGGCCGCATTCAGCGTTGGTTGCCTCTTGGAAATTACGCTGGGCACTGCTAGGACAAACACACCAAACCGGTAGGTACGTTGGGGGGCGATGGGGGGGTAGCAATATACATATCTATACATATATATATATACATATATATACATATATATACATATATATATATATATATATATATATATATATATATACATACATATATATATATATATATATACATATATAGATATATATAATATATATACATATATATACATATACATATATATTATATATATATATATACATATATATATAATACATATATACATATATATATATATATATAACATTTATACATAATATATAATATATATATATAAATAATAATATAATATAATATAATATAATAATATAATATAATATAATATAATAATAATATAATATAATATATATATAATATATATAATATATATAAATATATATATATATATATGCTGGGTGACCATATATATATATATATATATATATATATATATATATATGTATATATACATACATACAAACAGGTACATTCATGCTTATACTGGCATATTTGTATGCACACTTTTTACATGTATGCATGTATGCGTGCATGCAGACTTTCATACATGCTTACTTACACTTCCAACATGAAAACAAAATGTCCAACATGAGATGAAGGTCCTTTGTGCTGTCTGGAATCTTGGGTCTTTCGCCACCATCTTGAAGTTCACTGTGAACCCGGCGAAAGACTTGCGAACTGCCGCAAATCGCAAAATGACAAAGAACTATCGGCTAGACTTCACGAACGATATGCACTTTATAGGCATGGTGCATTGTGCGGCACCGATGCCTGTAAACATGTTTGAACTTGGCAATGTTTACTTCCTCTCAATGTTTGATGCCCTGATAAGAAGACTTGCAATAAGCCTTCTGCAGTATAGCGGCAGGCCTACTTTGTCACTGTTTGGGCCGCTATACCGTTGTTTTAGTCATTGTTATCCCCTCTACCACTGTTTCCTTACGTCGTCCATTTGTGTAGCCAGCCGAAGGGCAGGCCATCTGTATTAACGTATGCAGTATGTTCTCACTTACCTTATTGCGAACATTGCTGTTAGGACTGTTTGGCGAGGCGACCTCGCGCGCTCCCGAGTGTCCCATTCGTGTAGTGAGCTATTTCATTTTGCAGCTTGAAAAACACTTTGGGGGTATGCATGCTTTTTCCGGAAGGAAGAATGTGGATCATGTGTTCGTATACGTTCCAAACGGTAAGTCTTTGCCTATTCTTTTGAAGCGTGAATTGGTTTACGCAGTTTACACATCACAGCGTTTCCCGACTTGTGAGGGTGACCACCTGGGCTTTATTTGCATGAAACGAGCGCTAGCTCAGATTCCTGAGGTCTGGTAATCTGTCGGGGAATCCATTGTCTGGCGAGTTTGCATCGAACCGACAAATGACAGTTTGTCCGTGAAGGGGCACGTGAACGCAGTTTTTCAGTGCGCAGTACCTCACAGATCCGAGAATTCAATACTCTTCTCACCACCAGCTCTCCTTCTCAAATCCGGCAGCATAAGAAGCTTCGTTTTGTGGCTTGTTGAACCAGGCCATCAGCTTTCCCGCAAGATTGATAGCATTTTTTTGTAGACAATGAACTTTGCTTGGGTCAGACTACACTTTGTGACTGCGACTATGCGCCTTTTCTGTTGCTTGGGTAGGCCCCGCTGTTGAAATGCTCCTAGTTGAATGCGAAGCCTCAGGACGGCCTGAATCTCGACTGCGATGCGACGTATAAAGTGGCCGAAGGTGCAAGATTTTGTTGGGAGAAAGAAGCCAAGAGGATTCGTCCTGTCGCGAGTTGAAGTGACTGGAAGTGTTGCTTTCAGGCTTTCTGCTACTTGAATCCCATGACATGCGGCCTATCCATCTTGTGGTTGGGGCTTCGTTGATGGGTCCCTTCTGTTCTCGAGATCGGTCTGAGGTATGCCCGGAACCGCACGGACCCGAACGGCTGCCTGTATTCAGATGACATGATCTTCTCTCCGTGCGTGCACCTCAACTCAAGAGCAGGAGCTAATTCTCGCTCGGGAATAGGGAATGTCAGGCTCGGGCGGGCTCAGTACCATTTGCCTCCGCAGGCTTTGTGTGCAGGAGGGCGCGGGATAAGCACGACATCGGTGGCGGTCGACATTGCAAGGAAAGAAGGCAGGAAGGAAGGAAGATAAACAAACGGCTGCAAGAAGACACAGACGAGAGACAGAGGAAGAAAGCAAGAGGTAGGGGAGACAGAGAGGGAAAGAAACAGACAGACAGCGGAGAGGGGTGGTGCTCGCGCGCTGCTTTCTTGAAGTCCTGCAGCGAGCAAGAAAGAGAGAGAGAGAGAGAGGGTTCCGCAATATGGTTGTTTTCACAGAGGGGGCCCACTCCTAGTCCCGAATAGCAAGCACAGTCTTTCTGCACGACCCAACAGAGCAGAGAGGGGGAGGGTAACACAGGTGTTCATGTGACTGCTGTCGACCGTTACCATCTCCTCTGCATGGGGGCGAATCGCGAAGCAGGGTTGGCACCAACACATCATGTTGGGGCGCGGAGACGGCCGCGGTTGTTTGGGGGGTTCGAACAGGCTGATTCGGGGGAACATCGTGGCCAACCCCGGCGAAGACAGACCGTCGCGAGCTGTGGGGGTCGGCCTCCGGGCCAGGAGACCTCCTGTCCCCATACCCCGGGCAAGCAAGCAAGCAAGCAAGAGACCGAGAGGCAGAGAAAGAGAGAGAGAGAGAGAGAGCAAAGGGCTTGCTGTCCTTGCAAGTGGTGATGCCAATGAGAACTGATGCGAGCACAGCATAGGGGCAACTGACCCCGGACCGACAAGGCTCGGTTGACTGTGACACCGTGCGAGAGAGGCACGGACACACACGGAGCAGGGAGCACATAGCAGAGTATACGACCTGAGTATCGGGGTTCAGCCTTTGCTCCCGGTGTCCGAAAAACAGTTTCGCGAACCCGGACACGTACACAGGCGTAGCGCTCGCGCGCAGGGGTCCTGGGGTTCTCCCGAGGCCCCGCACGCCCGGCAAGCAAGAGAGAGAGAGAGAGAGGGAGCAAAGGGTCGCTCCCTCTTCCTCTACCTGTGCGAAAGAAAGAGCAAAGCAAGGGAGCAGAGAGAGAGAGAGAGAGAGAGAGAGAAGGAGTTCCAAGCCGGCGCCTCGTACCAAGACACCTCAGTGCGCACATGTGCGCGAGAGGGTTCGACCTTCTCTTTGGCTGCGTGCAAGCAAGGGAAGGAGTTAACAGTCCCTCATGACCTGGAGAGGAAGAGAGGGTGAGACAGAGTGTGTGCATACGGTGAGGGGTCTCCTCAAGTGCTTCCATTCCCAGAGTTTTCGGAGGCCGTTCTTTCGCACCGATGCCGGTGCCTTCCTTGTGGCTCTGGCTTGTGCAACAAGGGATCCAAGCGAACTCCCTTCGAAAATGCAGTGGAGAGGCATCAAGAGCTTGCAAGCACCGCCGAAGCAGTTGAAGGTATGGTTTACGCCGTTGTGGCATTGCTATTTCATCAAAAAAGCTTTGTGGTTCCTATCAACTCGTCCCGCGCAGTTCGGCTTGTCTCGCTGGTTCGATGCTCCTGCTTTTGCCAGGACGCGCCAGTTTGCTGCTCTGTACTCACTGCTGCTGCTCCCAATGCCGGGGCTGCCAAGGGACCTGCAGCAGCTTGCTCTTGATGATCGCTCTGGGGGGGGGGGGGGGGGGGCGGGGTTCAGAATTTAGTTGGAGGTTTTCTGGCCTTCGAGCTGAGTGAACTTCGTTGGGAGTTTGACTTGTTGGAGTCGGAGGATTCTTGCATTTATCAGAACTGCTTGCTAAGCGTATGGTGAAGCCCGGCAGTGTGATGGAAGAGCTTGTTCCGATGATGCTTGGGACTTGCCCGGTGGGAACAGAACGGCTCTTCACCTTGCTTAGGCAGGCTCTTGAGTATCGACCTATGTGATACAATGACAAGTTCGAGTTCGCATAAGTTGCAGGATTCAGGTAGCAGCGAACACTGTCAAAAGTGAGTCAGGCCTGTAGTTCGCGATCGTATGCAGTCTTTTTGCAGGTCAATCAAGTCGTCTCTGTGCTGAAGGCCTCCTTTGCGCTGTGCCCAGCCATGAAACACACACTTCACTTGCAACCTTGAGACAAAGCGAAAGCCGGACGAAGCTCGCGACATCCTCTGTCTAAGAAGCGTGTAGTCGTAAACCTAGACATACACTGCGACCTACTGTGGCTGTCGCAAGGAACTGACCAGGAATATTCGGA